CTATTCACCGACGGACGTTTCTTTCCATAGGTTTCCATCAAATCCTCTGGCGGGAAAATGAATGTTTTCATACTATCGTCCATCTCTTTTAATTGAAAACGTCAAATGGCATGTCAACGCGCCCATCACACTTACATCATATGAGTTAGAGACAGACAGATTAAACGTTTCTTTATTATTTCGGTCAAGTGAATGACAGGTTCACAGGGGAATACGGGTCTTGTTTACACCACTGATGCATCCCTACCATGACCTTCCTCGAGCAGCTCACCTCTCCTGGCCCATGGGAGGTCTTGCCATCACAACAAACATCAGTTTTTGAATGAGATGCGGTGTCTATCTGTTTGAAGATGTCATTGGTCGTTCCTATTAAACTGGATGACGGAACGGCTTCGGCAAAATCGCGAACTTGGTGTGGATTAAAAATATCCTCTTCAAATAGAGGTAGATTGCAAAAACGTTCCCGAAACAGCTCTTCTACGACTATACAATTGAGTCAGGGCCGGATTAACCATAAGGCGGATTCGGGCGATCGCCCAGGGACGAAAAGTCAAAGGGTGCGAAAAATAAAAAAAAAAAACCAAGAAAAATAAGAAGGAAAAAATCAGAAAATCAGACAGCAAAATGACAAAAACTCGACTCCTTACACATAAGCCGTGTTCGTTTTTGTCATCTTTTTCGTCGATTTGCTCCGAAATTTTGACAGGCACGTGATCTGTAAATTGAAACTGTCTGATCCAGTCACGTGCCTGTCAAAATTTCGGAGCAAATCGACGAAAGTGATGGCAAAAACGAACACGGTCCATTTTTCAAACCCGAATCTGACGAGGAAATAAGAACAAAAGCGCAGCGACTTGAGGAAACATATAAAAACAATCTTGTCGATTAATTTCCTCAGGAATGTCTTCACTATAAATATTTTCTGATTTCTAGTGATCACGATGGCACCTTAAATTTGGGAGAACTTCTATACAAAGTTTAAGGCTCCGTCAAGTTAGCCTATCAATTTTTTTAATTTTTTTTGTGCTAATTAACTGTGCTCCCAGTGTGCTTCACTGTGCTGCTAATATTAGGAACTGTGCTGAGTTTCACTTAATGCTATTCACAAAAATTTGAGGGGGGCCAACTTGACGCTTAGCTTCCCCGTTTTTTCGATTATTTTATCGAACAAAAGCAAAAATTGATTCAACTTTCAGTGTGCTGAACTGTGCTGCTAATATTTTTAGCTCAGTTTTTCGTTTAACCCTCGTTTCTGTCAAAAAAACCCTATGGCAAGGCCAACTTGACACTCAGCCCCCCCGTTTTTTCGATTATTTCATTGAACAAATGCAAAAATCAATGCAGCTTCCAGTGTCCTGAACTGTGCTGTTAATATTTTCAAGTTAGTTTTTCGTTCAACCCTCATTTTCTCAAAAAATATTATGGCGGGGCCAACTTGACGCTTATAGCCCCCCTGGGCTGGAACTTTGTAATGGATAGAGATCGTTATCCCTATCACTATGGCACTTGCTATCTTCTTCTCTCTCTTGGAAATCAATAGAGAGGGGACCTCAATAGAGATAGAGAAAAAATCTCTATTCGTTACAGAGTCCTAACCCTCTGGTTCTTCGATAATTTTATCAGACAAAAGCAAATACAAATACAAAGCATATTCCAAAAATCCCCACGTTTGGCAGATATTCCATAGAATATTTATTTTCATGACCAACAATATATCTTGGGAGGAATAATTTCGTACGTGGGGTCATAGGGGGGGCTAAGCGGCAAGTTGGGCCCGCCATAGCATTTTTTGCGAAAAACGAGGGTTAAACGAAAAACTTAGTTAAAAATATGAACAGCCGGTTCAGCACACTAAAAGTTGTATTCATGTTTACTCTCGTCTGATAAAATAAACCAAAAAATGAGGAGGCTGAGCGTCAAGTTGGCCTCGCCATGAGAAAAACGAGGGTCAAACGTAAAATTGAGTTGAAAATATGCACAGCACAGTTTAGTACACTGGAAGTTGCATTGATTTTTGCTTGTGTTCGATGAAATTATCGAAAAAACGGGGGGCTGAGCGTCAAGTTGGCCACGCCATAGCATTTTTTGAGAAAAACGAGGGTCACATGAAAAACTAAGTTGAAAATATTACCAGCACAATTCAGCAAACTGAAAATTGCATTGATTTCTGCTTTTGTTCAATAAAATAATCGAAAAAACGGGAGGGGGGGGGGGCTGAGCGTCAAGTTGGCCCCGCCATAGCATTTTTTGAGAAAACGAGAGTTAAACGAAAAACTGAACTAAAAATATTAGCAGCACAGTTCAGCACACTGAAAGTTGCATTGATTTTTGCTTTTGTTCTATAAAATAATCAAAAAAACGGGGGGCTTAAGCGTCAAGTTGGCTCCGCCATAGCATTTTTTGAGAAAACGAGGGTTAAATGAAAAACTAAGCTAAAAATATTAGTAGCACAGTTCAGCACACTGAAAGTTGCATTGATTTTTGCTTTTGTTCGATAAAATAATCGAAAAACCGGGCGAGCTGAGCGTCAAGTTGTCCCCGCCACAGCTTTTTTTGAGAAAACGAGGGTTGAACAAAAAACTTACTTGAAAATATTAACAGCACAGCTTAGCACACTGAAAGCTGCATTGATTTTTGCATTTGTTCAATAAAATAATCGAAAAAACGGGGGGGCTAAGCGTCAAGTTGGCCCCCCCCTCAAATTTTTGTGAATAGCATTGAGTGCAACTCAGCACAGTTCCTAATATTAGTAGCACAATAGAGCACACTGGGAGCACAGTTAATTAGCACGAAAAAAAAATAGAAAAATTCAATAGACCGGGCTAACTTGACGGAGCAAAAGTTTACAGTCTGAAAAACTAATCTCGACATTTCCTAATAACGAGGTACCATTAAGAATGTATCTTTGCCTTCCATCGACTAACGCGTCTGGGTCCTTATTCTTGAAACAGGAGAGCAGCGTTCCCAGGAGAACGAGTGTTCCGTCTTTGTTACTTATAATTATCAGTTGCATATCATTGAAAAAGACGGATCACTCGTTCTCCAGGGAACTGCTGCTCTCCTGTTTTAAGAATAAGGAAAGCTGGAGAGAGGTCCTTTTTCACCATAAGCAGGAATAAAGACTATCTAGGAAATACACTTTCAGATGAAAAGACAAGTGACTTAGCACTAATCAACTTGTCTCATGCTATTTTTAATTCAATATACTAAGTATTTGTCTTTTTTATATTGAAGAATCTTCAAATGACAAAATAAAAAATTATGATATAGGCCAGAGCCTGGAAGGGGGCGAAATAATTTCAATTGCACAGGGGCGAAAAAAGGCTTAATCCGCCCCTGAATTGAGTACAAACCGATGTCGAATAAAGATAAATTCTTTTACAGATTGTTCAGTTCTAAGCTATAAAATTTTCATGCTGGCTTTCAACAAAGGGCAAGCCGAAGACATGCAAAAGCAATCCTCCATAACACGACAAGAATTTCAAAACGTTGAAATTGAGACTGATGACGTTGCTACTGAAGATCAAATACACAAAATCTTTGTAAACCTCTATTAAACCGCTCAAGTCATATTGTGGTAAAAATATAACCGCTAGAAAGCATTAAAGAAAACAATTCCTGCCATAGGTGGACTATAATGTCCGAAAAATGTATCAAAGCATGATGAAATATGTCGCAAGAATGTTAATAATACTCCCTTGTGAGTTAAAGTGTGTTATATATTTATATTATAATAAAAATATTTTCAAACTTTTCAGGATAACAATAGCTATTTACATACCATGGGAGGAAAATAGTGGTTGTTCTCTCGCGGATAGTTTGTTGCCCGATGCGAAGCAAATGGCATTATTATTCAAGGGAGGAAAAACATTTTTCTTCGGAGAAATGTAAGTATAGAGTTTTGTCTACTGCCTTTGACGACACCTTGATGGGCCACATAATGAAGAACCGCTGTATATACCTACAAATTTTCTGACAATTTGGTGGTTTACTGATTTAGAAATTAGAAACCGGTATAAAATGTTTGTCTCCAGACTTTTCCTTCTGGAGACCAATCTCCTCCCTTGCTGAGGGGTCGAAAATTAAGTTTTCTAGTAAGGTAGTAGAAAAAGTCATTGTTTTTATATGCGAAATATGAATACATCAATGAAATCAAATCGAAAAATATTGTTACCCAATTAAAATGTAGTTGTTAGGCATTGGCCAGGTTAGCAGAACCTGAGGTGAGCATTCCTGAATTTCAATTATTAAATTTGCCAATTAAGGAATAACAAGAAAGTGGACCCGTTTCCCGTTTTCCAGAACTCTCTTTTCACAAAAGCTGTTTTTAATCTAGAGGGTTGAAAGCTGCCTTAAATAATCCTTACGAGACTTTCATAAACTCAAGAAATTCGGGAGAGCTTGCAGGATAAATTACTTACTACCAGATAAAAATCAATTCGCTTTTGCTTAAGATTTGCATCTTTTGGAAAAACTGAAAATAAAGAGGCTCAGTGGGTCCGTTGGACAACAAATTATATTTGAAAAAAGTTTTAGTATTTATATAGGTACCTACTTATTACTGAGAAGAATAAAAATAAAAAATTAACATTAACGGACTAAAATTAGCCTTTATTTAGTTGTTTCTGAACTTATTATTTTAATTAGCCTATAAAATTGATGTTAATTTGTTTTTTCCTGCCTCACTGTAATAAACCCGTCACTTTTCTGATATCTCCTGCATTCCTTCCGCAAATTGTACCTTACTGATGGATTTTGGACAGAAATATGGCAAAATAGTGCGATAATGATAATCAATTTTAGTTAATAATATTGCTCACCAATTTGCTCCAAAGTTTATCTAATGACTAGCAGATACCTACTCATCTCATGAATTTTCATGTTCCTGAAGTACAAGTTTGGTATTTAATAGAAACCTTGTGACATTTAAGTAACTAATGTATCCTAAGGCAAATGGCTAATAAGTTTGCACTATGGTAAAATAATTTGGTTAATCTTACCACTTGACTGACTATCTTGAATGTGGCATAGAAGGAGCATCAGCAGAAGCAGGAGCGACCCCCTGCGACGGGACGCTCTCTGCCGTTCCTGCAACATTATCACTTGACTAATTCACATACTACCGCAAAATTATTCGCTTTATTATCATTCGGCGGCATCGTGCATTATCAACATGACGAGTTATTTGCTTCTGGCCCGCGATCCGCGATAGCATTGTCCGCAGCGAGCAAGCACCAAAGCCAAGTTCACAGCGCCAGCGTCGCGTCGATAGCGGCGCCATCCCCCTTTTTCGCCGCCTACCCCGGGGTTGCCAATCGTTCCATATATTTCCTTCCACACCACACACCACTTGTTCCATATTTCAAGTTTGCTCTAGTTTTGCACCGGCAGATTGTTGCATCAATTGATTCATAATTCACGGGGGTTGTTAAACGGAGCTTGTGTAGATTTATGAATCTGTGCATATTGTATTATAGGCTCTGAGGGAGATTTGTAATATTTGAATAACTAGTCGTCTTTCAATAATAAATTCCTAGGTAATTTTTGGGTGTCTTATCAATTAGTAGGGGTGCTAGATTGCTACTAGCTAGCGATTAGTCGCCATTGTGGGATGCAAACTCGCACAGGAGGGGTTAAATGACAGCCTTTCCACTTCAAATAGGTTATAACATATATTTACACGTTTTTACAGTGGAAACATACCCAGAAGGGGTATGAGGTACGAAACCTGCATTTAACTTGTACAACATGACATTGAGCTTGAAAAAATGAGGAGCGACATGCTCATGTTCATATATCTTTCAAGACTAATCAAAACTAGTGAAAAAGAAGTACAGTTGTCACATCTAGTGCATTGTTGCACATGGCAAACAAAATGGTTGGATATTGTATTCAACAGCCATTCACCGTATTCTGACATTGCACTCGTTTATTGACTCAATTTACGATTGCTGCACTCCATAAAACTCCATTCTTTTCCCCCTGGACGCTGATGTGTGGAGCATACTGACGTTTTAACAAAATTGTTATAGTGGGATAATTAAAAGACTTTAGAATTTTACGTTATCAATGATAAGAAAAGAAAAAAGTATTTTGAAAACAGTATATTACTATAAACAATTTACAGAATATGCCTACAGTACATTATGATAATTAAATAGGTTTTAGCTACCTAAATACAACAGATGTAAAAATTCTTGACTGGCTTGTCTAATAAGTGAGATGATTCTTGGGATGCAGTCTTAGTAAATAAAACTAGTTTTTTACAAACGCCGAACTTTCGGAAATATTATTGTTTCCTTTTTCAAGGCTAAAAGTAGGTAGAAAGCGAAAAAAAAATTGTTGAAAATATAAAATATGTGTGAAAACTTACGTGCAAAGTTAGTTAAATTATTGTCGAATAAGCCATTGTTGATAAATTATTGAAATTTGTTGTTTTCTTTGAACTCTTGCTCTAATCTTGGAATTTTGTGTCTAATAATTTTGAAAAGTGAATTGAAATTTGTCAAAAAATCTGTGCAAGAAATATAAAATGGTTTTCAACAATGATTATTATTACAATGTTCGGTTATTACTTTATACAATTTTGTATGAAATATAAGAAGATTTAATTACAATTTTTTTAAAATTTTAATAATTTTAATAAATAATAAATCTCTATTGAGATATGTATAGAATTATATTTAGATCTTCTATACATATGTCTTTCTTTTTGTTATTACAATTTTTATCACTATTAATGCTAACCATTTCTGAAAATAATCTTTCATCAAACACCTGCTAGTTATAATTTGTTCCAATTTAGACAGGTAAACTATCAAATAATATTATAATCCATAACTCACTAGTGGGTTATGATTTATACCTCACTCTCTTATAACGTCAACGCAAAACGTCAGGAAATAAGAAATTATAAATCCTGCTTTAAAGAAGACTTCACAAAAAATACTTGTTAGTTTTTTCCTCGTTTTTTTCAGTTCTTGTATGCTGCTCGAATGTTATGATTTCTCAAGTGTTGGATAAAACATTGTATGCTACTCGTGTGTTATGTTTTCTAAGTCACTCGAGAAATTATACCACTTGGCCTGACGGCCTCGTGGTATAAATTTTTCTCGCGTGACTTATTTTCAATATAACATACTAGTACCATAAATAACTATTATTATAATTTTTTTCTATTTCCAAAATTTTAGGATTTAAAAAATCAAACATATGATTTGTATCCAATATATGTTCAGATAAGCTGCAACTTCATTTATTCAATGTAGTACAGGGTGTCCCACTAAGGTCGGCCAGGTACGATATTATGGAAACCATAGACCTTACGTAACTTGAAAATGAATGCAGATATTGAATTGCGGTTTGCGCCAAAATGTAGATATTTTTTTGCTCTTTAAGCACAGCAATACAAAAATAATAGCATGCCATCTGGATTTTTCATGAAAATTAGAAAAAACTGGATCTTGGATAAACAGCGCCCTCTAGAAGACGCGGTGGGAACTATCGACCCCGAACGAAGTGGTTTTCTTAATAACAATAAAATTCTCTTCCAAATAAGCCCAAATTGAATGAGTTTGGATGAGGGGTATGGAAGATACAGCAATTTCTAACTTTCACCAGCTTCCCCCACCCTTATTAGTGGAGATACGAAAAAAAAACCTAATAACCAAACTGGCGCAAAAATTAATGAGCTTTTGATTTCTGTTGTTAAAATAGTATCTTAATATAGCGATTTCTTGAGAAAATTTGAATTTTTAGCTATATCATCGTAATTGCGCCCCCTTGCGGTCATTCTAGAAACTTGAAAATAATTTCCATCAATTTCTCTTGGCCGATTTAGTGAAGAAAAAAAAAATCCCGAAGCCGTAAGGTCTATGGTTTCCATAATATCGTACCTGGCCGATCTTAGTGGGACACCCTGTATACTAGACAGACTTTTCCTAGTAATCCTCGTAAAAAATTATCCATTGGTCGTTGGAACGTAGCAGGAGCATTTTTTAACCTGAAGGGCATACGTGTGTACTCGTAATGTCCATGGTCTACATTGAATGCTGTTTTAGGAATACTTTTTGGGTCCATTTCAATCTGGTAAAACCCACTGGCTAAATCCAAAGTTGTAAAATATTGACAACGTCCTAGTTTATCTAATATCTCTGCGATATTTGGTATTGGATAGGTATTTATCACTTATGGTTTTCTCATTCAACTTGCTGTAATCAATTACTAATCTCCATTTCTTTTGTCCTGACGCATCTGTTTTCTTAGGAACATTCCATATAGAGGAACTCCAAGGAAAACGGGATGGTTGGATGATTCCATCTTGAAGCATTTGGTCTATTTGCCTATTTACTTCGTCTTTGTGAATGTAAGGGTATCTATAGTTTTTTTATGGGTTGGGATTTCGTCCGTTGTATTTATCACATGTTTGTCTTGATTTGAGAATAAAAATTGATCTGCAGGTTTATGTAAAGCATTACCAAATTTTCTAAGCAATTTAAAAGTTGCTTACGTTCTTCTTGATTTAAATGATCGTGTCTTATTAAAGATTTTAAATCAATTTCTTCTAAGGTATTTACGCTTTCAATTAAATAATCATTATTTAAGTCATAATCGAGGTAAAATTGAATATTTTAAAGTTGTTGAGTTCGATTGGTTCTAGAGGTAAGTTTTCATTTTTACTTCCTTCTAAAATTATCGATCTTTTTGTGTGGTTAAACACGTCTATTGTCTATGTAGTCACTAATGTTGATTGAATTTCAATGGTATCATCACGGAAATATGGCATTATCCATGTGGTATTGTTGGGTAGATTTGTTTTGAATGTGGATTTTTGAATAGTTTTTGGTGGAATTTCAATTGCATATTCGTCGACACGTTTTGTCTATATTGGAATGGAATTTCCAAATAGTGATTTTTAAGTATCTAGTTGATTATTAATGCCGATATTTAGGTTTAATTTACAAAGATCTTTTATTCCTAAAATTACGTCTAAATAATCATGAAAAGGATATAGAATGAATTCAATTGGTTCAGATATTCCGAAACATAAAAATAGTGGAATGTTTGCTTTACTGGTAGCTTTTTTTGAACCAGCGCATGTTTGAAGTGTACTAACATACGGTTTGATTGATTCTGGAAAATATGTTTCAGCTAAGGATGGTCTATGCAATGATGCATGTGATCCTGTATCTATTAATAATCTTGTATTGTAATTAGGAATTTCTATGAATGGCAATTCATTAATTTGAAAACTATTTAGATTTATGTAGAGTTTACTTTGTTCCAGGCTTCCACTTGAAAATTTTCCAATTATTCTTTAAGATTTTCTTCTTCATAAGAAGCAGTTAATTTATTTTGTGCAATTAATACTGTACGAGCTTCAATATTGGTAATTTCAGAACAAATTTTATTATTAATCTTAGTTACTAAAGCTTTAAGTTTTTGAATGTAATCTTGAGTTGATTCATTTCTTTTAGAGATAAATATTAATTGTTGTTGTAAATTTACTCTAGTTATTGGATCAGTAAACTTTTGTTGAAGAGCAGTTTTAATATCGCCCCATGTATTTAAATCTGATCTTGTTAAAAGAAAGTCTTCAGCTGCGCCGATAATGTTCGACTTTATCGCTAAAATTACATATTCTTATTGAGATGCATCGGCATTAAAATATCTGGCATAAAACGTATCGATTTAATTAATGAAAGTTTCCAAACGCGTTGGCGATGTTTTTAATAGAGTTACAGTAGATTTTAATGCTTCAGCAGCCATTGTGCTGTTATATAAAATTTGTGGTCCTAAAAAATCGTTTAAATCACTAGTTTGATTCAAATTTAATCTAAAGTTATTTAAATTATCTTCAGGTTCACTTGAAAGTTCACTTTCTAAATATCGAATATCGAACTTAACTGTGCCTTGAAATTTCTGAATAAAGTTCAGCTAATTCGTTAGTCGATTGACTATTATTTCCTGAATTATTCAATTATCCCTTCTAATTCGAGGATAAGTAATATCAGTTAATCTTTCGTTAAATTTTTTCATTTAAGTTTGAACATATTTGAACAAAACGATTCTTAAATAACAGGTTGTACGATTATAAGTAACAATTATGGATTTACAATAAAGTTTCTGACCTTTTTCCTATATCAGACGGTACTTCGCTGGCGAGATAAACTAAC